CCAGAATTTACAACCTGGCTATCAGCTCTACCCACCTCTCTGGCTCTTGTTATCTTTCCCCCAGTCTAGCCTCCCCGACACGCCACCTCCCCAAGCAATGCCTAGAGTTTACTCCTGGCTCTGCATTGGCAGTTTCATCATGCCTGGCCATTTCAGGGGACCATGCAGGGCATAGGGGATCAAACCCAGGTTGGCTGCATGCAAGGCAAGCACCTTACCCCTGGCACTATGTTTCACCTGCCCCCAAATAGTCTAACATCAGAGCTAGAAGATCACAAGAATTGTGTGACATTTTGAGCAGATAAACTGAGACTCCTGAGAGGCAGCAAAGAAAAATGAGTGACTTGTAAGGTCTAGTAAACCTGAGGGCGAAGCTACGCAATTGTTGTGATTGAGATCAGCTATGCGGGTTCCTAAAATACAGTCCCTTTCTGCAGCTTTCCTCAAAGTCCGCTGTGGCCAGTAGCAGTCTACTGACTGTGACTCTCATACAAGTCACTGTGACAGTGTCTGAGTTGTATCCAGTAGGCAGTAAATGGGAGCTAAATAGATCAGGAAGAAAACTAGTTACTTAGTAAAAACTGGAATTAGTGTTTTGAGTTCAGGTCCACCTCTTACCTTGACATCAAGTGCTGTAGTCAACAAATATTTCAGGGGCTCAACTGAAAAAAATAAGGGTATTTTTTTTCTTAGATTCACCCCATTTATTTCCGGCAACCCTGAGCACAGGGCTGGATTGGCAGGGGCGTGTCAGTTTGATGCAAACCTCTCTAGTTTGTTATGCTAGAGTGAATTCAGGTGTTTGTTTTTTGTTTTGTTTTGTTTGCTGCGTGCTGGAGTGATAGTACAGCAGGTAGGGCGTTTGCCTTGCATGCGGCCAACCCGGGTTCTATTCCTCTGCCCCTCTCGGAATGCCTGGCAAGATACTGAGAGTATCTCACCCGCACGGCAAAGCCTGGCAAGCTACCCGTGATGTATTCCATATTTCAAACATAGTAACAACAAGTCTCACAATGCAGATGTTACTGGCCCGCTGGAGCAAATCGATGAACAACGGGAGGACAGCGCTACAGCGGACAGTGCTACAGGGCTGTGTTTGCTGCAGGGGTGGAGGTGTGGTTGACCACACTCAATGATGTTCAGGCCTCACTCCTGGTTCTATGCTTAGAGGGAACTCCTAGCAGTGCTTGGGGTACTTTATGTGGTCCCAGGGATCAACTGAACGCAAGGCAAGGACCTTAATCTCGGTATTTTCTTCCTGGCCCAGGACTGAAATCAGCTTTAAGACATGACTTGGAAATTAGGGTAAAGGGAAGATTTGCCTGATCCTTCTTGCAGGTATTCATTCATTTGCTTACTTATCAATTTGTGATGGCAAAGTTCATGCTACAAAAATCACAAGGCTCTAGTAAAGTGTTATACAAAATGTTTTTCAAACTGTGGGTCCCAACTTGTCAGTGAGATGTTACGTCATAGTCATAACTTAAAAAGGAAGTAGGAAAGATAAAAAATACTGCAGTGCATTACATATAGAAGGATATGTACTAGGTCAGGAAATTCACTTAAATTCACTTGTGATTTGTTTTGTTTGCGATATAGCATTATTTGAGTCGTCTTACTGCGGGTTCTGATTACAAAAAAATTGGCGAATTCTGTACACTAACATTTCAAAAAGTAAGGGATTTAATTCAGAGCAGTTCTGGCATTTGTCAGTGTTCAACAAATGGGTGTTAAGATCTGACCGAGAATCAGGTACAGGCCCTTGAGAGATTAGAGAGAGAACCAAGTGTTATTTATGCACTTAAACTCAACCTAGCAAACAGTAAAATGGGTCAAGCCTTGAACACAGTTCACTCAGAGTTTAGGTTAGACAGAAGATAGACCAATTTCTTTTCTTTCTAGAAATGTTTTCTATCCAATATTAGGCAAAAGTAAACATTTTATTGCACATACCACAATTCTGTGTCTCTGTTCCACTCATCAATAGAATTAGCCTTGTTGACATTAGTTTGGTATGTCTTAACCCAACCGATACATGAATTCTGTGGGAACAATGTCCTTATCTAACACACACAATGGATACTAACACATATAATGCTTGGTACCATCAGTGATGAATACATTCTGTTTAAGGTTCCATATAGACATTTACTAATTGTGTCTGTGACTCTGTTCTGTTCCTGCTCAAGTGATTTGATTGGTCTGACTCTGTAACTTTATGATTTATGGCCTAATCATATTTGCCCAGCTTCTAGAATGGACCACTCAGAGGCCTCTAGTTTCCCATTTCTGCTCCTAATTTTCCCACTACATTAGGAGTCAGAAATAGAGGGGAGAAAAATCATAGACTTTATAGTACTAATTTTGGTTTTTACCAACATGATGATGTGAACTCAAAAAACATATAGTGTTGTTAACAGAACTTTTAGTAATTTAGTAATTTTGACATGATAGTGTCGAGTGATAAGAAGGGTGAAAAATTGGACGGGGCAGATATTACAGGGGTTATAGTGCTCGCCTTGCATGACAGCTACTAACCCTAGTACCATCTCCCCAGCACAAACAGGAGTGAGTACTAGAAACACCTTCCCTACATCCCAGTACAGATCACAGGGGTAGCACCTGAGCACTTTGGAGTGTGAGCCCCCTACCCCCACCGAGAGAGAGAGAGAGAGAGAGAAAGAGAGAGAGAGAGAGAGAAGCAAAAGAAGAACAACATTAAAGCACTGACTTGGAAATGTGTTGTTCACTGTGATTTAGGGCAAATCTCCCTTTCAGTTCTATCATTTAAAAAACAGAAAAGGTTCGAAAAAGCCCTGTCTACCACTAACAGCTGTGAATACCTTGGAATTGGTCCACCTTAAAGGTGCTCTCCAGAGTTTAATAAAATATTGGAAACAAAGCAAGGAACCAGGGGCCCAAGAGAGAGAGTACAGTGGGTAGTGCACTTGCCTTGACCTCAGCTGACCTGGGTTTGATCCTGGGCATCCCATATGGTCCCTCAAGCCACTCCAGGCATGATTCTTAAGCACAGAGCTGGGAGTAAACCCTGAGTATTGCCAGTGTGGCCTCAAAAACAAACAATTTTTTTTTGTTTTTGGAATTAATGAGTCAAAGTGAGCACAGATCTTTTTAAGTGGCTTAATAAATCACCAAATATTTATCAGTGTTTTAAGATTCATCTAGAGCTTTTCTTCCCAAAGTTTTCTCTCATTAGACACTTTAAAAATATTCTTACAAAAAAAGGGGGGGGGGCTGAAGAGATAGCACAGCGGGTAGGGCGTTTGCCTTGCACACGGCCGACCCGGGTTCGATTCCCAGCATCCCATATGGTCTCCTGAGCACTGCCAGGAGTAACTCCTGAGTGCAGAGCCAGGAGTAGCCCCTGTGCATTGCCCAAAAAGGTGTGACCCAAAAAGCAAAAAAAAAAAAATTCTTACTATGGGTTGGAGATCATACATCACGTAGGCTGCTTGTGGGCTTCATAGCCAGTGGGATTCAATTCTGTCACCACATTTTATCTCCCTGAGCACTGCCAAGAGTGATCCCTGAGCACAGAGTCAGGAGGAAGTCTGAGCACTGCCAGGTGAGGCCCCCAAACAAACATATATGTGTGTGTGTGTGTGTTGGTTTGAGGTGAGTCAATATAAACTCCATGAAAAATAGTATTGAGCTACTTGTCCAGCTCCAGATTTCTCTTTCTCGCAGGGAATGTTCTTTCCTGAGGTGCTAGAAATTTGTTGTGGGTTACTTGGGTGAATTGAGGAGCAAGGAAGGTAACCTTGAGAAAACAGTACTTCCGCCTCTCTGCATGACCCACGTCTGGTTGATTCTGGGGGCTCAATAAATAAGTAAATAAATAAATTAACTTAGAGAAGCGTGAGGGGAACGAGAGACATATGTGTTCAGGAGGAAACACGGTCTTCTCCAGAGTGTGAAAGGCAGAGAATGGCTTTTGAAAGATTTTATTCAATTTCTCCAAGTTATCTTGACCTGGAGTTCTCTGCATACGCGAAAGTTAATCTGGGTGTTTTCACAGGGAAAGCCTTGGACTCTGGATGATCCTTCCATATTCTTACTACAACCATTAGATTTTTCCAGTAGCTTCTCCTCTTCTGAGGAGGTTCATTCTTCTCTGGATGGTACCTCAGTTTCCCTATAACAATTAGATTTTGCAGTAGCTTCTCCTCTTCTGAAGAAGTTCATTCTTCTCTGGGTGGTACCTCAGTTTCCCCAGCTTCAAGGAATTTATGGAGATCTTTCATCTTTCTTCATGCCTTTGGTCTACTTCAGGGACAGGCAATTTCTCATCAATTTTATCTATCTGCCTGTAAGAGATTAAACACTCAGAAAGGGAGAACCGGACCGGAGTTACATCTCGAACCCATCAGCAGATACTTCTGAAAGAAGGGCTGGAAATGTCACTGCGGCCCTAAAAAGGAGGGCATGTTTCCTTTTAAGGAAGATTATGTTAGCGATGAGATAAACAGAGAAAACACACCCTTATCTAGGTCAAGGCACAGTGCTCCTTGGGTTCAGGACCAGGGCAGAAGAAAAATTCCGCCTTTCCATGGCCCAGAGCAGGCAGGCAAAGGTCGGAGCGCGGGACTCAGGAGAGGATAGGGAGCTGTAAGCCGATGGCAAAATAAATTCTTAGGGCGCTGGGACTCAGGCTTGCAAAAGGTTTGGGGCCCAGATTTAAAGCAGTTAGAGAAATTTGCAGAAATCTAAGTCCCAGTGAAGAGTGGTCTGGGTGGGGTGACCTTGAGTAGCTGTGCGTAGTTACAGAAAAGGACGGGGGAACGGCTCCCCGGGGCTGCCTCCGAGCGAAAGAAGCTCCAGTTTTGGAACAATACCAGTTTGGAGACTTTAGTTTTTCGTCGAACCGAGCAAACTCTGGGTGGAGTCGGAGGGCCAGGCCGAGGGGGCGGGGCCAAGACCGGGGGCGGGGCCACGCGGGCCCGCCCTTCGGCGAGCGGAGCCGGCGAGGGGCGGGGTTTCCGGCGCAGCGGCTCCGGGGCGTCGGGTGACGCCGGGCGGACGAGGCGTCACGTGACACGGAAGTGACTCCGAACAGGAAGAGGACGAAAAAAATAACCGTCCGCAACACCGAGCCGAACCCGACCCGCAGCTATCATGAACAGCAAAGGCAAGGACGGGGGGCGGCTGAGGTCGTCGGGGGGCGTCGTGCTGGCTCGGAGCGAGCGGGCCCGGAGCCCGGGGTCCCCAAACGGCGAGCTCGCGGCGGGCAGGGCCACGCTCCTCGCCAGGCTGCAGTCCCGGGGGCTGCGCCCGACGCCCTCGCCACCCCCACCCTAGGGCTGCTCGCTCCCTCCCGGCCTTTTTGCCCCCGAAACTCTGTGGCGCAGTTTAGAGCTGCGGGCTCCGGGGAGGGGGGACGGAGGGGGGCTGGTCATGACGGGCGTCCGCCGGAGCCAATGGGAAGCTGGCGCTGGGATTTGGGCCGGCCAATAGCGAGCCGGAGGGGGCGGGTCTACGCGCCCGGACCTGGGGCTGGCCCCGGGGCTTAACTACTGCGGCGCCGGCTCCTGGGTGCTGGCGGTGGCCCGCGGGGTCCCTCTCTCCCCGGCTCAGAACTCCAAGTTCCTGCGGTCCTACCAGTTCTCCTGCCAGAACTCGGTCCCCAGGCACTGCCTGCAAAACTTCCACCCCCCGAGCCCCTTTCCAAACCTCGCCGTATTCTCAAGGTTCATTGCCACTGTTCACTCCCACCAGTTTTATTTGGAAGTTGACCTTGAGTAGGAATTTCATAACCGCAGCTTTACTAGCCGATCCCGATGCACGAGGCCGCCTGGAAACTTCGGCCTGATGGGCACCGGTACGCCTGGCTCACCGTTACAGCGGTGTGCCCAGGGGACGAGCACCCTTCCTGTCCGCCCCTGAAGCCCACCTCTTGGCTCACTGAAGCGTGCAAACGGAATGCTTATTTTGCCCTCCCCCAGGACGGAGGCCCCTTTGCAGACCCGTCTGCTTGCTCCCTCCTGATGAACCACCACAGTGCCGGCTCCCAGGTAGCTGGCAACGTGCATTATTTACTCGTTTTTTTGTCTTCCAGGTCAATATCCAACACAGCCGACCTACCCTGTGCAGCCTCCTGGGAATCCAGTGTACCCTCAGGCCCTGCATCTTCCTCAGGCGCCGCCCTATACTGATGCTCCACCTGCCTACTCAGAGGTGCTTCTAGATCCTAACGGGGTTGAGATGCTCCCCGGACCACTATTCAGACCTTGGCTAAGTGTGACCTCATGATGTATTTACTCTTCACAAACAGGAGCACAGAGTATTTACGTGAATTAGCCAAGACCCTTTACGGTTCAGCAGTTCCTGTCCTGGCTGATGGCTTTACTCTTGGGCGCAGGCTGAGGTGGGGGGAGGGGGGTGGGATTTGCTTTCCTTGATTGAGCCTAACATGAGTTATCAAAGGAAGAGTCTTGAATGGCAGTGGGAAGGCAATTTGTGTGACTCAGTGTGAGGACGAAGGGTTAGAATTAAGGATTAGAGTAGGGTTAGAATTGAGGATTAGTACCAGTCTCATAATTATCTCAGCCGAAATACTTCCAGGCTTAATAAGTAAAATACCAGAAATCCAAAATCGCGCGGCCACTATTGCGGCCGCGCAACATCATTTCATTCTTGTAACCAGCTGTAGAAAACAAATCATCTCACAATGCCTTTTCAGCCATGTCTGATTTGGGGGTGTAAACTCTAAATAATAATGGTGCATCTTGTGTCGAAACAATGAATCTAATCAAAGTAGATAGAGTGTTAACTAGAATCCATCTGCCTCACAGGCATTGGGAGGGTTGGGAGGGGGAGGTTTATTGGGGTTCTTGGTGGTGAAAAATAAGTGTTGGTGAAGGGAAATGTGTTTGATAATTGCATGACCGAGACTTAAACCTGAAAGCTTGGTAACTTTTCCCACAGTGATTCAATAAATAAACGAAAAAGAAAAAAAAAGAATTGAGGATTAGAGTAGGCGTGTCACCGAATAACCCTTTGTCTTCTCTTCCTTGCCCCTTTCAGCTCTACCGTCCCAGCTTTGTGCACCCAGGGGCTGCCACCGTGCCCACCATGTCAGCTGCATTTCCTGGCGCCTCACTGTACCTTCCCATGCCCCAGTCTGTGGCTGTCGGTCCTTTAGGGTCTACAATCCCCATGGCTTACTATCCAGTTGGTCCCATCTACCCACCTGGCTCGGCAGTGCTGGTGGAAGGAGGGTATGACGCAGGAGCCAGATTTGGAGCTGGGGCCACTGCTGGCAGCATTCCTGTGAGTATGACCATATCAAGAGAAAATGGGCTGCTGTGTATTCTAACGTTCTGAAAGGCCTTCACAGTCGTCCTTTCACTATTCCTGAACAGTCACCAGGGGTGGTGAAGTAATCAGTAACGTCCAGTATTCAGGCAGGAAGTGGCTGTGGTCAGCAGCATCTGGCTGTCCACTGGGATTGAGCTAACCAGATTCCTTTGCTTTTCTGTCCTAGGAGCTCTCCTTGCTGCTTTTTTTTAGTCCACCGTGGAACAGCTAGCAGAGCTGTAGCACTTGTTTATTCTAGAAGCATCTACTTAACCATGGTATTGTAACAGGGACCATGATAATGAAAAGTATAGAATCCATAATAGCACAGCGGTAGGGCATTTGTCTTGCACGCAGCCAACATGGCCGACCCGAGTTCGATTCCTCCGCCCCTCTCGGAGAGCCCGGCAAGCTACCGAGAGTATTCGATATGCCAGACACAGTAACAACAAAGTCTCCAATGGAGACGTTACTGGGCCCGCTCGAGCAAATCGACGATCAACGGGAGGGCCTTTACCTTTACCTTAATCTTTATTAAGGAGCTTTTAAAGGAGCCAGAAAGATGGTACAGCAGGTATGGTGCTTGCCTTGCACGTAGCTGGCCTGGGTTCAATCCTCAATACCCCATGCGGTCCCCTGTATCCCACCAGGAGGGATCCTTGAGCACAGAGCCAGGAGTAAGTTCTAAGCACTACTGGGTATTGCCCCTAAACAAAACAACACAAAAAAAAGGGGGGGTGGGAGGAAAGAAGAAAACACTTTTAGAAAGGAGCTGGGGAGTTGGGGGGGTTGGTTGAGAGGCTGGAGGGCATGTAGGAGTCTTGGGTTCAGCCAGGTGTGGCTCACCCCCAGCAGCAGGCCACAATAGCCCTTGGGCACCTCCCAGTGTGGTCTCAAAAACCAGTTTTTAGAGAGGAATTTTAGTTGTTTTTTATTTAGTTTCTTAGTGCATGCAGATTAGAACCCATCCTCACTATAAACCGTCAGCCAGAGGTGAAATGCCTCCCCTCCCTCCCTTTTTTTTTAATGGTTTTTGAGCCACACCCAGCAGTACTCAGGGCTCACTCCTGGCAGGCTCAAGGGGCCATATGGGGTGCCAAACTCGTTGGCTGCCTGCAAGGCAAGCATTTTACCCATTGTATTATCTCTAGCCCCAAAGCATGTGCCCTGGGGCTGAAAGATAGTATAGTGGTTATGGCTTTTGCCTTGCACACGCTGAACCCGGCTTTTATCCCCAGCACCCCATATGGTCCCCCAAGCCTGCCAGGAGTAATCCTGAGCAACAGCCAGCGATGGCCCCAAACCAAAAACCAGCTTGCACCTTTTATTTTGGTTTGGGAAGCCACACGTGGCTGTGCTCAGGGCTTGCTTCTGGCTCTGTGCCCAGGGATCACTCATGGTGGACTCTGGGACCATTATGTGGTGCTGGGGATTGAACCCAGGTCGGTTGCAAGCAAGGCAGGTGCCCTCCCTGCTGCAGTCCAGCTCAGGCTCCAAGCTCTCACACCCTTTAACCGAGAGATAGGCCCCTTTTTCCTTCTCATCCCTTTGTGTTCATGGAGAATACAGACCTGCTTTAGAACCCATGTTGGTGGCAGATCTGGCTCCTTTAAGATGCTGTTCCGTTGGTGAGCACAGTGCCGGCATCCTAATAAGACCTTGTGCCTGTCCCCGATCAGTGCCCTGTGCCCAGTCAACCTTCTCTTCTTCTTTCAGCCTCCGCCCCCTGGATGTCCTCCCAATGCTGCTCAGCTTGCCGTCATGCAGGGAGCCAATGTCCTTGTCACTCAGCGGAAGGGAAATTTCTTCATGGGAGGCTCCGATGGTGGCTACACCATCTGGTGAAGAACCGAGGCCACCTCCGTGCCGGGAAAGACATCACATACCTTCAGCACTTCTCACAATGTAACTGCTTTAGTCATATTAACCTGAAGTTGCAGTTTAGACACATGTTGTTGGGGTGTCTTTCTGGTGCCCAAACTTTCAGGCACTTTTCAAACTTAATAAGGAACCATGTAATGGTAGCAGTACCTCCCTAAAGCATTTTGAGGTCGGGGAGGTGTCCATTCATAAAATGAATGTGGGCAAAACCGCCCTAAGGATCTTCCTTTAATCCCTCTGGAGTAATACTGTACCATACTGGTCGTTGCTTTTAGTAATAAAACATCAAATTAGGTTTGGAGGGAACTTTGATCTTCCTAAGAATTAAAGTTGCCAAATTACTCTGATTGGTCTTTAATATCTTTAAGTCTTTGATTTATATTACACGTTAAAAGGAACTGCATTAGTTGTCTCTGCCTCCCCCCTTCCATCCTTGGCCCAGTTTCCCTGTCACCGCCCTCGTTTACTCCCCGTCACCAATCTCCATTGAATCAATGGTGCAGGACAGTAAGCCAGTCAGACTAATTCCCTTCCCTCCTCGCCCTTCCCCACGTTTGCCATCTTTTAAATAGTTTTTCACAAGGATCCTCTGAAACCCCATCTGTGCCCCAAGTGCATATCGCACTCCCTTCCCCTTGTTTTTGCGTCTCCTCAGGCAAAAGTGGAGGGTGCTTTTGGGACCCTCCTCTCGGGTTGTCTCTCCACACACGAACCAAACCCAAATTTGCTTTGGTGCCAGCAAAACTGAGCTTTGCTTGAACAGAGGCTATTGATGCGAACTGTACTATAAGCAACAGTTTGTGAAATGGGGGGGCAGGAAGGAGAAGGCATTTCAGAAGCCTGATGACTTTAGAGCCAAATTAAGGGGAGTTTTCAGATCGAACCTTGGTCACCATTTCTTGTCAGTGTCCGATGCAGCCGCTCACAGCTCCCAAGAATTCCTAAGCTTAGGTGCCTCACCGCAAGATGAGAGGCCAGTGAGATCTCATTAGGGTTAAGAATATTTCAGGGATCCTCTTAATATTTTGATTTTTGTTTTCTAAAATTGGATTTTTATTTTATCTTATACTTCTAGTTCATCTAAATTTTGTGTTCTGTACATGTGATGTTTGACTTGTACCATTGACTGTTATGGAAGTTCAGCGTTGTATGTCTCTCTACACTGTGGTGCACTTAACTTGTGGATTTTTTATACTAAAAATGTAGAATAAAGACTATTTTGAAGATTTGAATAAAGTGATGAAGTTGCATTACACCTCACTTCAAGTATTCTTTTCTCAGCTTGCTTTCAGAGCTCTGCTGTAAATCTCTTTTCTAGGCTTCCGAGAAATTAAAAAGCTCTTAGTCTCTGACTTGGGGCGATTGCCTCATCACAGGCAGGTAAGCGCGGGACCTCATGCCTCCGCCCGGGTACTTTCTAAACCACTGAGCTCTCTTGCAGGCTCTTTCTCGCTGGGGATCTGTGCCGATTGCCTCAGCACCCACGGACGGTACTGGGTTTGAACTCTCAGCCTGCACTTGCCGGCAAGCACTTTAAGTCACTGCTATCTTCTGGGTCCTCTGTTGTTGATTTGGGGGAAAGCATTCCAAACAGATACAATGCTGCTTGGGCCCTGTGATGCCAGGGCTGACCTAAACCACCCTGGTGGTGCTCAGGGGCTTCCAGAGCTAAACACAGCAAGGCACCATGCTCAGCCGGGCATTGTGGCATTGGAGGCCCACTGGTGTTTCCAGGCAATGAGATGCTGGTTGGCCTGACAGTGCTGGAGGCCGTGTTTGTGTGTGTGTGTGTGTGCGTGTGTGTGTGTGTGTGTGTGTGCATTGTGGCATTGGAGGCCCACTGGTGTTTCCAGGCAATGAGATGCTGGTTGGCCTGACAGTGCTGGAGGCCATGGTGTGTGTGTGTGTGTGTGTGTGTGTGTGTGGCCTGACAGTTCTGGAGGCCATGGTGTGTGTGTGTGTGTGTGTGTGTGCGCGCGCTGTATTTAGGCATCCAGACCTTTTTATTTGTTTTGGAGCCACATCAGGGATTACTCCTGGCAGGGATGAGGGGATCATATGGGATGCTGGGAATCAAACCCGGGTTGGCCCTGTGCAAGGCAAGCACCCAACCCACTGTGCTATCACTGCAGCCCTCAACCAGACCTTTTACAATTGGGGGGTGGGGGGCATTTCTGGTGGTACTGGGGGCTACTTCTGGCTTAGTGCTTGGGATGCTTTCCTGGTTGTACTCCAGGAATATGCTGTGAGGGATTTAATAAAGACTTTGAAATAAAGGGAGTATGAGACTAATGTGATCATTTCTGTGGGTTCCATTTTAGGTATTTCTATGCATTTTTGGGTTTGGGGCCTGTACCTGATAGTGCTTGGGAGAACAAATGTGGTGCCAGGTTAAGTAATCATACTTGTACTATCTCTCTGCCCACTTTCAGATTTTTACAAACTTATGGCCAAGGGATTTAGAACATAAATTTAAAAATATGGGAACCACTGATCTTACTTGCCCTCAATTATGCTTTGAAGATGTTTAAGTCTGGGGCTGGAGCGATAGCACAGCAGGTAGGGCATTTGCCTTGCACGCGGCCAACCCGGGTTCGATTCCCAGCATCCCATATTGTCCCCCGAGCTCTGAGTGATTCCTCAGAGTGATTGCCAGGAGTGATTCCTGAGTGCATGAGCCAGGAGTAACCCCTGTGCATCATCGGGTGTGACCCAAAAAGCAAAAAAAAAAAAAAAAAAAAAAAGAAAATGTTTAAGTCTGTGTAAGATCAAGGAGACTCAGTTTCTTCAAAGTTCTGTGTAAAGGCTGGAGAGCTAGTTCAATGGGCTGAGGGCGTACTTTGAAGCTGGAGGCCTGGGTTTGATCCCCAGCATGGTAGTAGTACTCCCCCCAAAGCAGTAGTGTGCTCCCTCCTCACCCCCCAAAAAAACCCCAGCCCCTACCCCCCACCCCCAAAGTTCTGTGTAGAGAAATACTGAAAACTAGTAACTGGGTATCTTACCTTGGGTGAACTAGACCTTGGACTGGAAATCATACATTCAAAACCTCCAGGGAGATCCACCTTAATGTCCATGTAATATCTGAGTTGCTGATCATTTCCACCAAAATAATTGTGCCTTTTAATCAAAACTCAAAATTTTGAGATTAGATTCAAGAAGCATCTTTGAGCTGATTCAATGGCTATTGGTGGTATGGTCAGTGCTGGGCCTGAATGGCAGAGCTCACGGTTCCATGAAGACTGTGCTTGGGCCCTTAGTACTATATCCCTTCCATTGTTGGGTGTGGCCCCAGTGGCCCCTGAGTACCATTTGTACTTGCCGGGTGGTGCTAAAGGAATCCAGAAATTCTGGCCTTGCCAGGATGGAGGTTGAAGCCTTGCTCCCTATGGATCAAGCTTTGCAGTGGAGAGCATTCACAACGGTCTCCATTTCAAAAGAAAAATGTAAAAAAAGCAACTCACAATGATAAAGGTGATTTAATTTTTGCACATAAAAGTCTGCTTCCTCAGGGAGCTCAGGTAGAGAAGGGAGCACCAAATAAAAGGTGTTGGGAGGATCCTCCCAGGATGGGAGAAGCATGCTGAAAGTAGACTATAGACCAAACATGATTGCCACTCAAGGACTCTTTTGCAAACCACAACACCCAAAAGGAGAGAGAGAACAGAGGGGAATGCCCTGCCACAGAGGCAGGGTGGGATGGGGGGATGGGGGGTGGGAGGGATACTGGGATCCGTGGTGGTGGAAAATGGGCACTGGTGGAGGGATGGGTATTTGATCACTGTCTAATCGAAACCCAAGCACAAAAATCTGTAAGTCTACAACTGTAGACTTGATGTCTCATGATGTCTCACTAATAAAAATTTTTTAAAAAATTTTAAAAAAGTCTGCTTCCTATAGCAATTGAAAATTTAATCTTGATAAAAATAACATGATTGAGGCTGTGAGGGAAGATGGGGAAGAAAGGCTCAGATGAAGGAAGGGGGCACCTTCAACCGGAGGCGAATCCTTCACAGTCTCTGGAGACCATCACGCCCTCCTGGCCGAGCCTTTTCCTGTGGTATCCAGTCTTCGGGAAGAACTTCTTTGGACACTATATCCGCTGAGGTTACCATTAGGTGACCAGTCAGGGGACAGAGGAGCAGCCAGTGGCCCTAACTCTGCCTCTGACTTGTGGAAAAGAGTGAAGTCAACAGCACGTACTTGAACGTAGCCGGATGTTGTCTCCATTTTGCTGGACCACCAGCTGCATTACAAAGGCCTGGTGAGAGACGCCGTCACTGGCTTTCCCCATGTCCCTTCCTCTGGTATCAGTGATGCTGGCATGTGGGCAGTCTCCTGGAAGGAGCTCAGGTTTGCCTATAATCGATCTGTGCTGCTCACTGATTACAGATTAGATCTTAACCTAATAAACAGTGGGTTTTTCATTTTTTTTCATTTCATCATCCTGTTAATCGTCGATTGCCTCGAGCAGGCCCCAGTAACGTCTCTTTCATCCTAGCCCTGAGATTATATTCAGGGCTCTTTAGGAGAATGAGACCCATCATTGTTACTGGTATTTGGCATATTTGGTAGGCCACGGGGAGTTTGCCAGACTCTGCCCTGTGGGCAGGCTACATTCGACAGCCTGCAAGTTTGTCCAAAGTAGGAATGAGATAATAAGATAATAAGATAATAAGATGCATTCGCGGCCGCGCGGTTCCGGGATCTGGATTTTATAGTCTCTGAGTCTTGGCCGCTGATGGGATTACACGGCGCCAGGGGGCCAGGTGGTGGGTGTGACCCCCGCCTACTGGAATTTGGAGGATCTGGGTGGAAGATGCTCGACTCCAATTCGAGTAGGCTTGGAGGTCTCGGCCCCGGAACCCGCGTGGCTTTGTCCCTCTGCCAGTACCTTCAGGTGTGCGGAGAGTGGTCTCAGCATGGTGGTGGCTGGTCCTGGAGGTCTCCGGCTGCCGTAGCCCTGGCCGGGGCGGGGAGGAAAGCTCAACCCGCTCCCCTCCAAGGGACTCCGGGAAGCAACACCGAGGCGCGGGGGCAGAGACTGTGGGTTAGCTCGGAAGATTGGACGCCCTTCTAGGTGCCCAGGAACTGTCAGATGAAATATTCCTCCTTCTCCCTGCCCTTGGCTGAGTCACTCTCCATTTGGAGGATGGCGCTGGGTTCGCCTTCTGCAGATTCATAGGTGACGTAGCTGCCTTTGTTCTTGTACAGGTAAAAGAAGATCAAGGTCACGACTGAGATCAGGGTGAGGAAGACCACGGTGATAACAACTTGGAAATGAGAGGGGAAAATGTTTTAGCATGAAGGGTTATCTCAGTCATTCGTGGGCCACTTGATTTGGGTTGCTCCCTTACTCTGTGAGGACTGCCTGCTCTGGTTAATGAACAATTTCAAATTCACTCCCCACCTCCCCCCGCCCCCACCCAAGTCCAACTCCATGGTACACGACTCGGAAGTTTCTTAGTGCTTTAGCTAAGGACCAGACTAGATTTCTTTCTTTCTTTGTCAATGTCCAAAAGCTTTATTATTATTTCACAGCACAGACTAGATTCGTGGCAACACTGAACTCCTTTCAACTAGTTCTTGATGACAGAAACAGGAAGGAGGGGAACAGGAAGGAGCTTATCCCAACAGGAAGAGTTTTCTAAATCCAGAGCCTCCTGGTGCTCTCTGATCCCTCCCATCCTCTGCCTCACCCACTCAGCAAACCACACATATCCTCAGCCCGACCCACGCTCTCCAGTGCTCGCAGGCACCTGGATCTATTTGTGGCAACCTCCCAGCCCATCATTTACTGGCAGTGCCTCTGACAGATGCGGCAAAGAATCTTTTTTAACTCCTCACGTGGATGCACGTGCATGTGTGTGCAAATCCACATGTGAAAACAAGCTTGTTCCTGGATTTTTCTTACTAATGTTGGGTGTTTTCCTAGAAAAGGGGAGTACTGCTCTTCACACTGAGTTCCAGGCTGTCTCAAGAATAAGGTGGTCCTGATCTCAGATGGTTCAGTGGTTTGGCTCAGAGCCGAAATTTCTTACCTGCAATAAGTGCTGTGCTGGCTTCAGCTTCTGGAGACAGAGCCTTAGTGGGCTGCAGAATTGGGGTGGTCATCAGTTCTTCTGGAAATGGAAAAGTGGAACAGGAAATGGGGTGAATTCTTTTGCTCTAAAGTCTATGTTTGGGGCTGGAGCAATAGCACAGCGAGTAGGGCGTTTGCCTTGCACGCGGCTGACCTGGGTTTAATCCCCGGCATCCCATATGGTCCCCCAAGCACCGTCAGGAGTAATTCCTGAGTGCAGAGCCAGGAATAACCCCTAAGCATCGCTGGGTGTGACACAAAAAGCAAAATAAATAAATAAAGTCTATGCTTGTCCATCAGATCTCATCACCATGTCTTTTTCCTTAGAAATGTGATTATTCAGGAGCCAGAGTGATGGTACAGTGGGTAAGGCACTTGCCTAGCACGCGGTAGACCTGGGTTTGATCCCCAGAATCACTTATGGTCCCCCAAGCCCTGCCAGGTGTGAACCCCGAGCCCAGCCAGGTTTGGCCAAAAAAATTAAAAAGAAAAAAAAAACATGATCATTCAGCAGGCTGGAGAACTGAATGCATGTTTTGCCTGCAGAAGTCTGAGGTCCAATCACCAGCAGCCCATGGTCCCCCAGTCACCACCCAAACTTAGAGTAGTCCCTAACCACTGCTGATGAGTCCCCACCCAAAAATTTTTCACCTAACTCCTTTAATAAATACGTGTAGGAAAATCTGGGAAACGTAGGAGAGAATAAACCACCACACAAGACAATGAAATTTTTTTTCAAGTTTTTGGGATCACAGCTAGTGATGCTCAGGGGTTACTCCTGTTTCTATACTCAGGAATTACTCCTGGTAGTGCTCAGAGGATCATATGGGATGCCGGGAATCTAACTGAGGTCTGACACTTGCAAGGCAAGAGCCCTACCCACTGTTCTATCCCCCTAGCCCCAAGACAATGAACATATTGATGGATTTCTTGCTGCTGGTATTCTGGGTAAGCACTAAGGCAGAGTGTCTAAGCTGAGCTCTGGCCTCCATAACCTATGTAACCTGGGAAAAATGACCTAATTTCTCTGTACATCAGACTCCAACTCTGCAAAAATGGAGGTAACAGTGTCTATTTCATAGTCTTTCAACATTTAGTAATATTTAGGGCAAGATATTATTAGGAATGTATATTTTTGTACAAATGAGGTCAAATGGGTCTATAGACATCGTTGTATGACACAAACATTTCTCTGATGTTCTTACAAATGCTTTGTGAAAGTTACTCAAAAATAAGGAATACTCCCTTATTAAAATTGCTTTCTTCCCTCTCACAGCAGACCCTAAAAATTTGAAAGTTTCTGAAACAAGGTCCATCCCACTAAATTACCTTACATTACATTACATTACATTACATTACATTACATTACCTCAGCTATTGGTCAGTCTACACATTATACAACCCCCCCACCCCAAAGTCATGACCTGGGTGTGTGAATCAGAACCCTGGAGAGAGTATCCATGGGAAATTAGGGACCCCTTGAGTTTCCTCTTAGTTTTTCCTTTTCTACACTTTAAGTTTCTTTTTTGTTTAATTTTTATTTCGATTTATTTATTTATTTATTTATTTTTGGTTTTTGGGTCACACCTGGTGATGCTCAGGGGTTAGTCTTGGTTCATGCATTCAGAAATTACTCCTGGCTGTGCTCGGGGGACCATATGGGATGCTGGGAATTGAACCCGGGTCGGCCGCGTGCAAGGCAAACACCCTACCTGCTGTGCTATTGCTCCAGCCCCTATGTTGATTTAATTTTGATTTCACTGTTATCACAGTATCACTGTTTATAACAGTGTTAATGTTTATGTTTTCGGTGTACAATTTTGCTGCACCTGTACCACCACGCAAGTACAAAAAAGTCCTCCATGTCTGTCTTTACGTCACTTCTAGTCAGCTAGTAAGCATTTTAGTGTAGTTTGAAAAGGTAATAATTAAGTGAAGGTTACAGCAGGACAGTAGATTCCTGAGGAAAACAGGTTGGGTGAGCCTGGAATCGCTCAGGGGAGGCACCTGGATATTCCTTCAGTAAGTCTTAACGGTGGCTCCCAGTCCTTATAGAACTGGACGGTTTCTGTGCCTGGCACCCTGGGGGACCACTGTGAGCAGGGCAGGCAGAGCCCAGTGTCACTGGGGTTTCTTCCCCCTTACCACACAGTTCCTAGTTCTGAACTTCAACAGCCATGAAGGGAAGCATGTAGGCATTTAGCAGGTCTATGGCAAGGGGAGTCTGAGGAGTCTTCAGTAGGACTAAAGTTCCCGGGAAGTAAGATCTGGGCTGGAACTACAACAGGAAGCAGGTTAGTTTACCCGGCAAAGGGGTGAGGGGTGGGGCCCACTCTCACTGAGGAGAGCTGGGGTCAAAGCCAGCGAACACACAGGGTTGTGCGGTCAGGCACTGTCAAGTTCGGGTTTCCATTCAAGGGAAGTGAAATTAAGTCCCTAGCAGCAAGAGTGCGGGGCCAAGGGAGGCCCGATGAACCATCTTGTTTGGCAGGCGAGAAAGCAGAGGGGGTGGCCCGAGTGTGTCTCCTTCTCTTCCAAGGCTGCAGACTTGAGCCCAGGATCTCACTGAAGGATGTGCTCCACCATCAAGTCACAGCCCCAGCCTCTACACTACTTTGCGGATTTGACCACATGCTTGTCCGTTTGTTACCCAGGCAGACAATATTTTTATTTGCTTGTTTTAGGGCTTCACCCAGCAGTGCTCAAAGGCTACTCCTGGCAGTGCTTGGGAGGTCATATGTGGCGCTAGGAATTTGAACCAGGGTCAGCAGGATGCAGGGCAAGTGCCTTAACCTCTGTGCTAGGTCTTCCATCCCTGGACACAACATCTGTGCAAGACCATCTGAAGGTTAAACAGAAGGAAACAGAAGCATCGTAGAGTAGCTACTACTTGAAATATTCTTTAAAGTCACTATGTGTATGTGCTTAGTCATTGAAAGTGAAAAGTGCTTAGTCATTGGAAGTGAAAACCACTCTGGATTTGAATCCTGCCTGGCAGATGACTAAGGTTTGTTCCTTATTCAGGAACAATAATAAGGAACAAACCACTCCTAACCTCAGTTTCTTGATTTGTGATATGGGGATGTGGTGGGCATCCTCTAGGATGATTCCCGGTGAACACTGCCCTCTGTTTATACCTGTCTATATGAGGAGGCTTTCTTGCTTTATGTGGACTGGACCCAGTTACTCCTTACAGCGAAAAGAAAATAGCGAAAGTGTCACTTAGGGGGCTGGAGCAATAGCACAGCAGGCAGGGCGTTTGCCTTGCATGCAGCCAACATGGCTGACACAGGTTCGATTCCCAGCATCCCGTATGGTCCCCTGAGCACCGCCAGGAGTGATTCCTGAGTGCATGAGCCAGGAGTAACCCCTGAGCATTGCCGGGTGTGACCCAAAAAGCTAAAAAAAAGGCTGGCCCTAACTTCCACCCCAGAAACTCTGTAGTGGCCCTGCCCAATTCCTGCTTCACTCTGTTGCCATCACTACACACTGCCCACCCACATCCCCGGGGCCACACTCTGTCTCCCCTCTACTGGCCCAGAGTTTTGCATAGTTGCTCTCCATTTGGCCTTTCCTAAATACTTGAGAATGTAGAATGTACAAAGAATGGAGATAAATGATGATATATGTCACTGTCACTGTCCTCCCGTTGTTCATCAATTTGCTCAAGCGGGCCCAGTAACGTCTCCATTGTGAGACTTCTTGTTACTTGTGTTTGGCATATTGAATACTCTTGGTAGCTTGCCAGGCTCTCCGAGAGGGACGGAGGAATCAAACCCGACTCGGCCGGGCTGGCTGTGTGTGAGGCAAATGCCCTACCGCTGTGCTATCACTCCAGTCAATGATGTATGTACAAGTTTAAATATAAAAGTGAACAAGAGGGGACCAGAGCAATAGTAAAGTAAGTAGGGCATTTGCCTTGTAAGCCGCTGATAGGGGTTCAATCCCCAGCATCCCATATGGTCCTCCAAGCACTGCCAGGAGTAATTCCCCCCTGCCCCCAAAAAAAAGGTGAGTCAACAAGTCAACAAGTCCTGCCAGTGCCCTGTGTGGGGCTGTCCCCGTGTCCGAGAGCAGCCCGGGCAGGTCCAGGCCATCGACACATCCCAGAGAACCTGGGAGAGAGGGGATTTCTCTCAGGGAAATGCTGCCAACAGTTCTAGGATAACAGCTGCTGTGTGCTAAGACCCTGCTTAGTGGGAGGTCCTCTAGGTACAATTACTAACCCTGAGAACACCAAACTCACTCAGGGAGATAGCTCAGGGGTAGAGCATTTGTCCTTCATGCGTGTGGTCCTGAGTTCTAATCCCTGGTGCCACAAATATGGAAAGAAAATAAAACACCAATTACCTCAAAGTGGGTGGTTTCATTTGCCAATGTGAGTCCCGAGCCCAGGGAGAGTTAAGTGACATGTCTCCGGTTCATGTGAAGGATTGGATGGTCGAGGGAGCAGAGTCAAGACCAGTGCAGCATACCTGCCCCCAGGCCCAAGCAAGGTGTTTATATTATGACTAAAAGAGAACATTCCAGGAGACTGGAGCAATGGTTTAGTGGGTAGGGCACTTGCCTTGCATGCGACTGTCCCAGGTTCAATACCCGGTACCATATATGGTGATCACCGAAGTGATCCCTGAGCACAGAGCCAGGAAAACCTTAAGCACCACTGGGTGTGCCCCTCCCACCCCCACCCCATCCCCACCAAAAAGGGGGAACATCCTAGCAATATAGAAAGACCTTACAAAATAGAATTCAATACACCTGAAAGTTGGGAGATGGCTCAGTGGCTAAAGTGTCTGCCTTGCAAGTCTGAGGCCATGAGTTCAATCCTCGGTGCCACAACATATGACAAGCACGACCCTCTGCCAGCTGAGGTCCCAGATGCAGCATGCAATCTTGGGCGCACCACAGCCAGCGATTACACAACGAAAGGGTATGGCCCTCCTGTGAGTACCACCACAGAAAAAGAGCACAGGAGTGTGGAGTACAACCCTTGGCAGATAGGTGTGGGCACTGCAGTGACCTCTGGGAATACTAAGCA